TTGGAAAGAAATGAAGGACATTAAGCGATTTGCGGATGAGTGTCCAGTTTGTCAATAGAACAAAAGCCTGGCATTATCTCCAGCAGGTCTCCTTCAGCCGCTGCCTATTCCTCAACAATTTGGGAAGATGTTTGCATGGATTTTATTGAAGGGTTACCGAAATCAGGGGGATTTGCTCAATACTGGTTGTCGTCGACCGATTAAGCAAGTACGGTCATTTTATACCACTCAAACATCCTTTCACTGCGCCAGTGGTTGCACGTGTTTGTGAAAGAAGTCATTAAGCTCCATGGTGACCCACGCTCAATTGTGTTAGACCGAGACAAGACTTTTGGACAGAAATTTTTGGATTGCAGGGGACTTTTCTTCGTTGAAGCACAGCCTACCACTCTCATACTGATGGGCAAACAGAGGTAGTGAACCACTGTATTGAGGCGTATTTGAGGTGTTTTACTTATGACAAGCCACGCAGCTAGAGTAATTGGTTACCCTGGGCTGAATATTGATACAATACTACGTTTCATGCTTCGACGAACACCACACCATTCCATGCTGTATATGGACATGATCCTCCTACTCTTGTCTGCTTTGGATCTCAGTCTGCAAAAGTCTCTGCCATGGAACAACAGTTAAGTGTCCGAGATGCCCTGTTAGAAGAACTTAAAACTCACCTCATGTGTGCTCAGATAAGAATGAAACTTGTTGCTCGTCGTGAGGTCCAATTTAATGTAGGTGACTTGGTGTATGTTAAACTTCGCCCATATCACCTCCGTTCCTTGGCCAAAAAGTCTAATGAGAAGTTAGGGCCTCGATACTTTGGCCCATTCAAGGTTTTGAAACGTATCGGGATGGTGGCATATCTATTAGAGCTGTCCCCCACAGTAGCTAGTCACCTCGTCTTTCACATAGCTCAGTTGAAGGTGCTGGGGTCAAATGAAACTTGCCAACAGATACCACCCCACCTGCAAGATACCTTGGAGTGGCTAGTTGAATTGGAGCAGGTCCTGGGAGTTCGACCTTATGTAGCAGGGCACCCTACTAAGAATGAAGTTCTGATCCAATGGAAAGGTCTCCCTGATTCTGAGGCTTCTTGGGAAACTGCGACATCCATCGTCCATCATTTTCCCGATTTCCACCTTGAGGACACGGTGTCTTTGGAATCCGAGGGTGATGATAAGCCTCCCATTTGATTCACTTATTCTAGAAGGATCAGGAAGAAGAAGAACCAGCTGGAAGGAGGGCATTACCGATTCTGTTACAAGCAAGTGGCTCCATAAGAGACTATATATAGCAGTAGGAAGAGAAGCAATAGACAGGCAATAGTGAGAGTTGAAAGGGGCAGTTGTATCTCGTTCTTTATCTTCATTTCAGTGTACTTCCCATCCACAAATTCAATAAAATTCTTCAATTGTTAAGTTCCTTTAAGTGGAGTCCTAACAGAATGACACCAGAAGAATACGCCTTTGTCCATAAGCTGAGGGACCAAGTCAATGTTCAATAAGGATCCCATCAAGAATGGCCCATAGCTTCTCCTTGAGTATAGGACAAACACCATAGGAAGAGAAAAGTGTACAAATACATCGTCTAGAGTGATCCAAATGAAACCACCACTAGCAAAATTATCCGACGCATTCATCAATGTTGATTTTGTAGGATCCCACCATTAGAGCGTGCCATGAAACGAGGAGAAGGTAGGTGTGGGTGAGAGCAATACCAATAAAATGATGATATCCAAGTTCCCTCGCCAATGCACGAACTGAAATAAACGGCTCATGTAAAGAAAGGAAATAGCCTGAAATACTTGCCATATGAACCTGTGATGCTCCATAGCTGTACCCTGGTATTTCGCTTCATTCCTCGCAATTGATAAGAACCAAAGAATGAAAAAACGAATGATAATGCAAATGTCGCCACTCTGAACAAACTTACTTGAGAAATGCCTGCCCTGAAAGCAGTACTAAGTCCTTACATTTTCATTCCATCATAGGATTTACATTAGTATTACAAATTCATCCAATTTACAACTGGTTTACATTCAGTAGCGGCTCATAATAAAAAAATTGTACATTTTCATTACATCATAAAATGCTCAATCCCATTTAATTCTTGTTCCAAAAGCAACATAATTAGGTACCTATCAAATTGGTATTAGAGCCACCATTCTTAAAATTTATGGCTAGTGACGAAAATAAATTGTGAGATCGATTGGGAAGGATTGAAGAAAGGATGGAGGAGATCCACATTGAATTGCAGTTGGGGTTCGATGATTAACTTTCGAGAAGCTGTCTCACTCCAGTTTTACACGTAATTTTTAGATGCATTGATTGAATTTTCCTTCCTTTATCTATATATGCTGGTGTCTTTATTCAATTTTGAGTCTTCCTTTCACTTTTTCTGCACTGTTGCTTGCCAAATGTAACCATTTATGCCACCTAGATGTCCTTCCCATGTGAAAGCCTATGGAGGCTTATCAATCAGCCTCCCCTCAAAATTCACCATTTCCTTGAGCTGAAAGTTTAGTTTATCAACTTCAAGACCCACTTTTCAACCCTGTGCACATGCCCCTTTTCATGACGTGCAAGGCTCAAGAACACTGTCATGTTGAACTAGTACTCTCTGGTAGACAATAAATCCATAAGAGGACTAGAAAACAATGGATCCACAGATGATTAGTAAAGGAAATGTGAAAGCCTATGGAGGCTTATCAATCAGCCTCCCCTCAAAATTCACCATTTCCTTGAGCTGAAAGTTTAGTTTATCAACTTCAAGACGCACTTTTCAACCCTGTGCACATGCCCCTTTTCATGACGTGCAAGGCTCAAGAACACTTTCATGTTGAACTAGTACTCTCTGGTAGACAATAAATCCATAAGAGGACTAGAAAACAATGGATCCACAGATGATTAGTAAAGGAGCTCAAAACCATTTTCATGAAGCAATGCATTGGCCTCAATCTTTGAAAGCCTATCCAACATGTCACGAATAACTATCAAGCCATTGTAATGTTATTTTTGGCGGGCAAAGTTCACACTCTACTTGTGTATGATCATCAAGTTAAGCAATAGATTCCTAAGGTTAGGGGCTGATGTATTGATGTTGTGAATGAGTAATTGCATTGTTAAATCACCATGATTTTCTCCGTTGTCCTTTATGATATAACTCTTTGGATCCCAACTTTAAGCCAGTAGCATAATCCCCACTGAAACCCTACCCACATTGGGATTCAATAGCAACACAGAGAGCCAGAGGGTACAAGAACTTAGAATACTGAAAATATTGACAGAGCATAGTTGAACTTGTGGCAGAAATCGCATTTGACATATCCCAATAGAACCCTCATGGATTCACCTTTCATAGTAGTTGCGCCGTTCCCTTCGTCGGCTTCCCAAAATCTTACCTGGTCCACATCATCCCTGACCGTGAAAACTTGGCAGCTCTTTATTCTTGTATTGGCATCCCATCAAATACTTATCATCACATTAGAAGCAAACACACTTTTCTTGATTGTGCTAGCTTCAAATTGATGACGAGTTGAAGGGTTCTGGAATATTGTACAACCGGTGATTTTGGAGGAATTCAGTGGGGTTCATGGATCGAAGGAGGTTGTGTGGTTTGAAGGTGGGATATTATGACCTTCCCGATGATATCCTGTTTAAGGACTATTTTTTTCTTGCTGAGTGTCCCTTCTTATGTGGCCGAAACCTGAAGTGTTCGAGCATCCCTTCTGCACGAAATTTTAAGTGCCTTGGCGACCAAAGAGGGCCATTCAGTACCGTTGAGCAATCCTTGGGTTTGCATGGTTTTTTTAATGCTTATCCTAACATGAGAATTACTCGATAGCTCGGAGACTTTCTCACCTTTGCTGCCTCTACTTCAACTATTCAGCCATGCTTCCCAGTCTTCGTCACCAGCCCAGACCTGTAGCTTTCTATTCTTGCAAAGATGACCTACCAAGTATTTCTCATGGCAACTTAAACATAGCATCCTTTCCCTCTTCGATTGGAGTTCTGCATCAGAAAGCCATTTGATAGGTGGTTGGCGGAGATATATTGATGGAGGATGAAATGAATTTGGTATCTGATTGCAGCTGGTGATTGGGGCTCTATCTAGATAATTGGCCTTCCCCTCAGTTTGGGATCTGCTGTAAGCTGTGCAAGGAAGTGGTTTCTTTCTTCCACCCCTAGCCATTTTCATTGTGCCGGCCAGTTCATTAGGATTTATCACGTGAGTTTTAGTTACAGATTGGAGTCATTTGTAAAATGGCCCGCCAGAATCAGCTCTAAATGCATTGGTGAGGCTAATGTCTTGAGTTGATGCCAGCATTCCTCCTTCCCAATTCCTGATTTTCCCATCTGTTCATCATCAAATCGAACTTCTCAATCATGAGCTCATTAGCTACAGGGTCGTCACATGTATCTTGGAAATTTAGATCTCATTGGCTCTAAAACGGGCTGCAGTTCAATTTGGATCTTTGCTATCCTTTCTTCAGCCCCTTCCCAATTGATCTTCTAATTGCTTTTCCTCATTTGCCAATAATTTCCCCTAATAGTTGCTTGGATACCAATTTGATTGGTACCTTTTCTTTTCTCGCTTACTTAAAATCTTACCCACGCTCTTAGATCTCTGGTCAAGATCCCATAGGATCTTACTAGATTTGGTTAAAAGCATCTAACATAAATGGTATCTCGAAATCTTGTCTGTTTTTATTGGTGGTTATCACCAGGTTTTGCCAAATGCATCACGTAACAGAATGTAATTTAAATCCTATGGAATTTAATGGATGATATGAATATAGTAGTGAGATATTGGACAAAAAACTTGACAAATATTCGAATTTCAGAGTATACTAATAAAATCTCATTTTGTTGCATTTAACATATGAGACTTGCTGCTGTTATTCACTTTTCATGCTGGAGGCTATCTTCGTATTATTATCTTTTAGTTCTTTTTTACTGTTGGGCCTTTATTTAGAAGAAGTTTAATTCACGTGTATGTCTCAGGTAGCAAATTTTGAGTATGTTGATGAAGCAGAAATGGCAGCGGAAGAGGAAGCATCAGCATCTCCAGAAGAGAATAAAGCCTCGATAAACAATTCTGATAGAGCAAGCTACTGGGAGGAATTCTTACAAGATAAATACGAAGTGCAGAAAATTGAAGAATATAATGACATGGGCAAGGGAAAAAGAAGCCGTAAACGGGTATGTTTTGGTGTGCTCAAGACATTTTTTCCTTATAGGAGTTACTAGGTTGCTTAGATGCTTAAGGTAAGAGTTGAAAATGAAGTGAATTATTGATTGTCGTAAAAACCCTTATGCCCTCGTTCCAGTCCTCCCTCCCAGAGGAATATGTGCTTTGATACTGTGTCCAATTCAGAAATTTCGTTCTATACATATGACCATCAACAAGAAAAACAAATGTGATAGCTAGATGATGGACTTCTTTTCTAACCTTCCCTTTCTTCATGCAGAGTTCTATTCCCGTTATAATAATGGAGACATAATCATAGAGCGTCCTTTAACGATAGCATATGTATAAGGATTAATGTAATTAGATGTGAAAAAATATGTACACTGGCTATATTTTAATACGAACCTTGGGGGCTGCTAAGGAAAACTCAGGCAGAGTTAATTTACAGTATGGAAGCCACTCTTGTCAGAGCCAGGTTTTGATCCTGGGACCTGTGGATTATGAGCCAATCAGTCCCAGATTGAGATTCAGACTGTGAGTGGTTGCTTTGAATCTGCAAATGATATAAGGTGGAGAGGCGGTGGTGTTTTGATGATCTGAAATTAGAAGATGATTTGCACCTAAAGGAGAAGAGAGCCATAGCAGGGAAGGAAGAATATTTTGGATTTCCCCAGTATTTTTATGCTTCATTTTTTCAAGATATTTGGACTGTCCCAGGTTTATATTGAGAATAAGGAGTTGATAGTTGCATTTTGACTGGTAGCTGAAACTTCAGTAGGGGATACTTTGTAGCTTTAATGTCATAATACTTTGCTATTGGTGGTTTTGTCACCCCATATAAGACTGGTAATATAACTCAACCCTATTTGTAATTCATTGATGGATGACGGTGCAACACTGCTATGTGAACCAGAAAGTAAACTATGGAAATGGAACTCAATCCACAGCTTGATCTTCAAATTTACTGTTGGCTTGGAATAAATCCCTTGTAGCTCAAGTTGAGCACAAGTTAGACTTGTCCCTTTCAACTTACCTTGGAAGTCCCCTCTCAAAAAACAAAGTTCTAAATTATAAGAGGAATGCTAGAGTAATCCAAAGAATTTGATTTATCCCAAGTTAAGGTGTCACTTATCCAATAAACCTGAAACTTTTGAAGTGTAGGGATACAAATCAGATGTGGATGGAGATAAATGTACCATTTCGTGTTCATGCATTTCACCTTTCTATTCCGTGTAGGATGAAAAATGCGTTAAATTTTTGTCAAGCGTCATCTGCTTGTTTGGGCTTTTTTTCTCACTTATCGAAGCAAGATGTATACTTTATACAGATGGTATCTGTTGAAGAAGATGACCTTGCTGGTTTGGAAGATGTGAGCTCTGATGTAGAAGACGATAACTATGAAGCTGAGTTGACTGATAGTGAAACAACTGCAACTGGAGCTGCAGCAGTGAGAAAACCTTACAAAAAGAGAATCCGCGGTATTGCTCAATACCAATTTTGTTAGTTGATTTCATGAATAAGGTAATAACATCTAACTGTTGCTCCATTTTCTTAATTTTTATCAGCAGAGACTTCAGGACCACTTCCTTTGATGGAAGGTGAAGGAAGATCCTTTAGAGTATTGGGATTTAATCAAAGACAAAGGGCTGCATTTGTGCAAATTTTGATGAGGTTGCAGTTTTATTTTAGTTTATTGCATTTCATCCCCGCATCTCTTTTCATACCCTCCCTCCCTCCCTCTTGTTTTTATTCTCACCCTTGTGTCTTCACTCTGTGACACAGATGTGCATCTAAAAATTCTCTCTTTTGCAGAGAATGATATAAGCCATCTCAATTGTTTTATAGGTTTGGCTTAGGGGACTTTGATTGGGCACAGTTTACACCTCGTCTAAAACAGAAGACTTACGAAGAGATTACAGAGTATGTGATTTTCTCTTCACGTTTTTTCCAATTAGCTACACTCATAAAAACATCTGAGACTCATTCTTTGCAATTGTCATTTGCATGCTTTTAGAAGCTGCGATCTCATCATTTTTTTTTATTTATTATTATTTTTTATTTTTAAATCATTTCGACTTGAAAATTATGTGTCCATCTCTGCTATGTTTCCAATTACTTTGTTTGGCTTTTAACCTCATCTTCCAAGTATAAATTTGTACGTGACGTCGAGATTGGATTTTGTGATTGCTGTAGTTTGTGTTTATCGGAGAGTATATAGGTTCATGAAGTACATATTCAAATTGGATTTTTGATACATGATTTAGAAGCAGCTACCTAATCAATGTGCTTGTTTAAGGATGAACATGGAAACACAACTCTAACACGCTTACATGTGATTTTGTAGAAAAGTAGGACATAGACACATTGATTAAATTAGTAGTAAACTATTTTATTATTTCCTTAATATTTGTTTCTCATTAAAAGTAATACCCATTATCATTTTCTGTGAAAGTATAACCAGAAAGAGAAATAGAAACGTAATGCTCCAAAAAAATTTGTGGAAGAGTTTTATTTAGAGTTGGCAAAAGAGATGTTCTGAAGATGTATATGAATAACTTGAGAAAGAGAAGTGCAAATTAATGGGCCTACTGTGTATGAGAATGTATGTATATGTGCTGCAATTAATGGGCCAAAACTTGAAGGCGTTCAAGACAAAAGTACCATGTACCCAGCTTTAAATATGTAATTATGCATTTCGCTTCCCCTCTCCAGACTCAGCCACCTCCCATTTTTCTTTCTGCGAGTCTCATCATACAAACTCACAAATTCAGTTTTTTCATCGGACCATCATCCCCAACTCCATTTTTCCATCCACCTAGTCTCTGTCTCTCTCCATCTCTTAGTGGATGTTAGATTCGTGGAAACTTCTTCGTATTTTTTTAGATTTGGCATATCGGCAGCAAGTGGTTGACATGTTTTGATATTTAAAAGAATTACACGCCGCCTAGTGTGTCTGACACTTGTTGGGCACTGACATTCAGAATGAGGTGTGTGTAGACCTAAAGGAGCTCAATTTGAAAGAGCAATGGATCCCAAAGATCAAGTTCCAGAGAGAGGGTCCAACTTGATGTGGTTGCAAAATGTCTGATTTTGTTGAACTTTTTGTAGATGTCAGTTGGATTGATGTAGTTGAAAAGAGTATTCATGTAGCAGAATTTAAGGTTATTGAGAATAAGGCTGAGCTTTATGTGTTTGTGTATAGAGTTTCGAACTCCCTCAAGAGGAGGATCAACTGAAGGCTCAGTGAACTGTGAGGATTTCCAGAGAATGAAACTTCTGATATTGTTTAATATTTGCGAAGTGTTTTTAAGACATCTGAAAAGGAAAATATTCCATTTACCTGAAATCACAATATATTCCAAGCATTCTAGATACCTACTGAGACCAAAACAAAAAACTTACAATTAATGGCTGTGCATCCAAAGTGAAATAACATTCAAATTTTGACTGGCACAAAAGTACGTCAGCCTGAAGGTCTGCTGCACTTGGATGAGATTTTCTGGCACATAAGCTTGATACTTCAGTCCACCAGAAAAACTGTAGGGCGATTGATTTTACATTGGATTCTTTTTCAGCAAGTTAAGTCATTTTTCGTTTTGAATCTATTTCAAAAAAATAGGACCTCATCCACACTTTCTTGTCATTACTTTAGAGATTTGTTACATGGTAGCACACCAAATCAGTCCCAAACTAGCTAATCCAACTAGTACTCTGAAAGTTTAGTCTTTTGTGTTGTGTGCTTCCTCCATGCATGCATGAATTTATCACTAACACTGATCTTCTAAATTACATGTAAAGGCATGATTTAGCTCAGCATTAATTGTAACCACCTGAAATTTTTGAATCATGGTGGTCAATAAAATTCATTGTAGATGAGCATGTGGTCACTTGCATCAGAGATCTGTTCTAAATTGTTGTGATTCTATGTAATCAGTTATGGGAGGCTTTTCATGTCACACATAGCTGAAGATATAACCGATTCACCAACATTCTCAGGTGATTACTTTTATTCTAAAGTTTCCTCGGCCATGTGCTGATTCTTCTATGATTTCTTAGTGGTTCAAAAATAGATTAGTGATTGCATAACTTCTTGTGGGTGCAGATGGTGTTCCCAAAGAGGGACTTAGTATACAGGATGTACTTGTTAGGACAGCTGTCTTACTTCTTATCAGGGACAAAGTAAGTTCGATATCCTGCAGTGAGATGCCTCAAATCTCTGTCTTAGAATATTTGGTATTTTGTTTTTCTAGAAATATAGTTACCTGTTCAATCTTTCAATATCTCAATTCTTGTTTATGAAGATGAAAGCTAACTTTTATTACTTTCCTTCTCGAACCTGAATATGCATGCTACTGGGTTGGAGGCATGTGTAGCCATGTTTGTTCCTTAAATAGAACTTTTGAGTGGATTAAATATTTCATCCCCTTACGTCCTGAATTTATTAGACTGTCTGTCTTTTCACAGGTGAGAGCTTCATTGGTGGTGAGTTCTACCCTTTTTGCAGATGACATTATATCCCGTTATCCGGCATTGAAATCTTTAAGATTTTGGAAGGAGGATCATGATAAGGTGCTGCTACAAGCAGTATTGAAGTATGTTCCCTTCCTGTTCCTACTTCTACTCTTTGTTATTTAATTGAAGTTTCATAACAATTCAAAAGGAACTGGAGTGTATATTCACTGGGCAAAAGGTTTGGAATGTCAGAGAGTTAGTATTTAGTTGGATATTTATGAGAATAGGTCCTTAAGGATGCCATCTGATGCAATATTAAAGAGATATTATGATATTTATTTTCCAATTTTGATGTTTATTCTAGGAAACATAATAAGTGTGTTTTGATTTCGTTGATTTTAGAATAATTTCCTGCTTAAATTGACACTACTTAAAACCCTATATAAAGGGGTCTTTTGTGTGGTAATAAATCAACTTTTGAATGAATAAAATTTGATATTTTCTCTCCTATTTCCTCTTCCCCCTCTTCTTCTTTCTTACCCCTCCTTTCTCTTCTTCTCTTCTTTTTCCCCTTCTCTTATAATTCTCCTATTACATCCGGCGTCAATATGGTATCAGAGCAAGTCATCTCCTTTGGCCAAACAAAATTCTCTTCAAAATTTCAGCCTATAAAAACTGCTCTCAACCACCCAAATTTCAGCCTTGGTTAGCAGCCCAAAAAAGAGAGTCTATTGTTCATACGTACTGTTCACGCCCCAGATTTTTGGCTTTAAAAAAAAAAAAATATTCCTTTGCTGCATTCTTCTCACTGCTGTAGTGGAAACCTCCGTGGCTAAATTTTTTAGTCCCAACTCAATACCACACAGTTGACCACTTCATAGAAAAACCATAGCTTATATATACCTATGATGCTCTGATTTGGGTATGGGTACATATTTAAGTGTCGAATATTTCATTTTTTAAAATTTAGGATATGGGGACATGGATAAAAAGAGTCAAAATTTTGGATACGGGTACGTGGGTACGTTTTTCAAATTTCAATTCTCCTTTAATTATTTTTTATTTTTTATTTTTAATTCATAGATACCATGAAAAATACTTTAAATTTTTATTTTTATTTTTTTTCTAAGATTCTGTATTTTCTGAATAGTGGCCAAGGTTTGGGGCTTCTTTTTGTAAAATTGGGCCTCTTACTTGAGTCCAAACAGTACCTAGGAAAACTTAACCCTAATCTTGTATGAAAAGCTATTTATTGTTTATTAGACTCCACATCTTATGCCCATTTTATTAGTCTGACCCAAATCCTCTATTAAAACCCTATTTCTCTCTCCCCTCACCTCATTTCACAGCCGTTCTTCCCATCAAGCAAAGAGGACGAATGGGTTGTAAAATCCGAGTAGGAAGCAGGATTTGTATTCAAGTCCCACACCTATCCCTGCAAGGGTCCTTCTCGATTCCGTTCTCCAGTGTAGGCGAGCACGCGACCCAATTTTTTCTGGTGGCGCAGTCGTTTTCAGCCTTCTAGGTTGCCGTGTCCGGCTGATTTTTGCTGTGTCCACCCCATATCCCGCATTCGTATCGCGTCAGGTCGACACGGAATGGCGAGTTGGAGCATCACAGATATATACATCCCCTAACACTCAACCCAAACTACCAACCCACTTTTTACACCCATTGCCCAAGCCCATCACACACATTCCAGCCCACTTAACATCCCATATTCCAGGGACTATTTTCCAAACTCTATTAGACCACAAGCCCACATCGTTACCCATGCATCAGCCCACCTGAACAACAAAATCCACCCAACTGAGGCCCATAATTCAAACCCAAACCAATCCATCAGCTTCCTAAAGCAGCAAGCGCTACCGGCTGCTGCAATCTTGCTGGCAATCCACCTCAATCGTCACTTCCACCATCGATCGAATCAACACCAGAAACATTCCAGTAGCTGATGCCTTTCTCTTCCCCAATTCCATTCCCTGAACTATAACCCCACATACAATCCCTCCATTATAAACTCTACCAAATCCATACCACAACACTCCAGCATTATCCCCTTGCCAGTCAACAAACCCATGTCAGTACCATCATCCCAACTCTCGCCGGCAACCACAATCAATGCCCAGCTTCCCGCCATGAAGACTACCGATGCAGACGCATCCAGTAGCAGTCTACAACTTATGTTCTCTGTTTGGGCCTTTGTTTTCAGCTATTATTCACTTGGTTTGAGCCTCAGCCTTCAGTTTGTATTTTGATTTGTTTGATTTGAGTACACACACAAAAAAAAAAAAAAAAAAAAAAAAAAAAAAAAAAAAAAAAAAAAAAAAAAAAAAAAAGGAAAAAAAAAGAAAAAAGAAAAGAAAAGAAAAGGAAGAGAAAAAGAGAGAGGAAGGGGGAGGAGAGAAGAAGAAGGGGAAGAGGAAGAGGAAATAGGCCTCCTTGGAGTATGAAGTTCCAATCTACCTTGTCGGAGTCGAGTTCTCCCAGTCGGGGAGAAATGATGAAATATTAAAGAGATATTATGATATTTAGTTTCCAATTTTGATATTTATTCTAGGAAACATAATAAATGTTGATTTCGTTGATAACAGAATAATTTACTACTTAAATTAACACTATTTTAAACCCTATATAAAAGGGTCTTTTACGTTGTAATAAATCAACTTTTGAATGGATAAAATTTGATATTTTCTCCCCTATTTCCTCTTCCTCTTCCCCCTCCCCCTCTTCTTCTCTCCTTCCCCCTCCTTTCTTCTCTTCTCTTTCTTTTCCCCTTCTCTTATAATTCTCCTATTACATCCGGCATCACCTTCCCTCACCTATTCAAGCATCTAGAGAGAAAAAATAAAAAATACAATAAATAAAATTTTATAGAGGTTGCTGTGGTGTAAGGAAATCAATTTGTTTGAGATGTGATGTTCAGAAGAATTGGCAGAATTTGGAACTGGAGTACCAGCAGTTGCTTGCTGAGCTCTGTAGTGTTGACAGTCCCTGCCAAGGACTGCTTGATTTAGAAGGGAATAAGGGGAGGCCTGTACTCTCATTTAATCTTTCTATCTATTACTATTAGGGTGGCAGAATGTGTCTTTCCCTTGGAAAAAGATATGGGAAAGTTACCTCTAAAAAACTTGCATGTTTTTATTAACTACAGCTGGGAAGGCAATTCGAGGGCTGATAACATGAGAAGCGGGAGATAATGTAGGCCGTAGCGTCTTATCTAGTGACTCTGAGCTATGATTTTTTGCTGCTTCATTTGTTTGGGTATCTAGGCAATGCCTGGGAATTTGTGCGAGCTATTGAAGAGTTGGTATCTCAAGGACACTAGGCTGGTTTGGCAAGCCTGGGTAGTCTGTTGCTGCCTGATGTGGACTTATTCAGTATGAAGGTGTACTATCTAGGTGTGGAGTGTCATAAGACTCATAACTAAATATGGTAAAAGTAATCTATCTATATATGGTACAATTATAATAATAATATAGCAGTAATCTTCGACGATCACTTTAATCTTATTTAATCTCACTAACATGGAGTACCTCATAGGTCTTTACAATGTGCAGAAATCTCATCATGGGCCTAAACAATGAAAAAAAAATCTCGAATGTGAGAGTAGGGGATCACACAATGAATGGCAAGCTCAAAGAAAGGGATTGCAGAAAGCACCTTTCTTTTAGAAGGGGTTGAAAGGGACTGAATAGTCACTTCTGAAGCTGAACAGCTCACTACTTTACCTATTATTTTCTGAACTTTACGGGAAATTGTTTTATGTTCAGAATCTTGAATATATATTTATTTGATAATATTTGATAGTTTCTAGTGCACACTCCCTTTCTATAACATTCTAGTCCACTTGGTATGATTTTGTCCACTTTGGACCTAGCCCATATGTTTTTATTCTTGGGCTTTCACTCAAAAGGCCACATACCTATTGGATGTTGTCCTTTCACTTATAATTCAGTCCCACTTTCCTTCCCCAGGCGATAGGAATTGTTCTTATAAATTTTTTTATTTTTCGAGGAGTGAAAATTATAAAGATATAAGAAAAATAATAGTGCTGCCTATCCTGAGATGCAATTTAGTATGGCTTCAATTGTGGGTCGGTCAGTACAAAACATGGGTAGCATACTAGATATTTATTTATTACAAGTATGTTTTCTTTCAATTGTCTTTTGGATATATAATATCTGTTGAAATTTGAAGCAGCTAATGGTAGATTTGATCTAATATACCTTTTGGTAACATATCATGAATTATGGGCCCGTTTTAGCATGACTTTTGAGAAGCTAAAAGGAGTTTTTGAGACTTAATAGTTGCTTTTGGACCCTATTTGATTAATTTTATGAAAGTGTTTCTTCTAATTAGAAGAGCTTCTAAAGGAAGTTGATCCAATGTGACTTCCTCTAAAAGCACTTTTTGAAATAGGAAGCTCTATTAAAAATTATTTTCCAAATAAAAATTAAGGTAGCTTTATCATGAAGCTCTTCTATAGGAAGAAAAGGCCATGCCAAACAGGCCCTATTTCTACAACATTTTAGTTTGCTTTTATTTGTTGGTACTGTAGGCATGGTTATGGAAGATGGCAAGCAATTGTTGATGACAAGGACTTGAGAATCCAAGAAGTGATTTGTCAGGAGCTGAACCTCCCTTTTTTAGATCTTCATGTCTCAGGAGCCCTTCATGCACAGAATTCTGCTTTAGGATCTTCTCAATTGCAATGTCCATCTTCAGGGACTTCTCAGGCTCAAGTTTCTGCTTCAGGCGTTCCTCACACACATGGTCTTTCTCCAGAATTTTCTCAATCACAAAGTAGTTTGAACTTGGGCCATGTTGAAGCACCTGGAAATCAGACTAAGGGAACCAATAGTGGGAATGGTCTTGAAGGAGGCGTTGCACATGGAACTACAGATACTGCAGCTCCTACACAAGTTTCTCAGGATCAGTCCATGCAATATCATTTTAGAGAGATGCAAAGAAAACTAGTTGAGTTTGTTAAGAAAAGGGTGCTGCTTTTAGAGAAGGGACTTAATGCAGAGTACCAGAAAGGATATTTTGTAAGTTCTTTAAAAACTCTTCTAATTATATTATTAGTGGAAAAGTTTTGGGGAGATCTTAATATAGTTGATACGATTTTCATGCCTCATCTGTAATGGATGCACTTGAAAGCAACTTTCACTATAATCTCTGCTTGAAGTACAAGGGGAATGTTATTATTTAGACTGCATTTCATTGGAAGTGTTCGTTGTAATTTTATAATTCCTATTTTCTTTTCTTGAAATAAAAATGTTGTTTTTTTCTACTCAACTATATTTTCTAAATAATATGATTGTCTCAGGATGACGAAAAACCAAATGAAATTCTGGATGATGAAACCGGGGAGAAGGTTGCGGGCACGCCAAATCCAAATTTTGATGAATTGGATACCCAAATGATTGATCAGTTGCCTCTGGTTGAAATGATTTGTGAGTGTAGCTACTTCTGGAAGTAATTTGTCTGGAATATTGACAACTATACAATAACAAGTCGATTCAAAAGTTGAGAAAATCAACTTTTGAATTTGTCCTCGACTTGTGCATAAACAACTAGTTTTGAGAAATACCACATGGTTCAAGATTGCTTGAAGAAATGCATTATAGCTGATGTGTAGGGCTTTATTTTAGTATGAATTTCCATGTTTTGTTATGTGATGACTGTTGAGAGTGAGAATGTGAAGTAATTGTTCATGTTGTACTTCTGTTTTATTTGTTTTATTAGTTCTCTTCCTTTTGATTAGTACAATTATAGTGTTGATTTGTGGTTTGGTTTAGACTGGATGAATTTTGAAAACTCTCCATTTTCGTCCATGGTTTTCTTTGTTTGCCTGTCTGTACAATTGGTTCGTATGTGCCTTTTGCCCCTAGGAAAACATGAACATGCTCCCCCACTTTTTTATCTCACATAATTGTCTGTCTTTATCTTAGAAATTTTTATTTCTCAAATACCTTCCTTTTGTTTTAATTTAATTGGAGTTTAGATCTCTCTGTTAGTTTTTCTGGAGTAGTAGTGATTATTCAATTGTTATAGTTTGATGTAGCTGTACCTTTTTTCCCAATAAAATTCTCTTATATGACTTGGAGAAATGCCCTTGACGTTTGCATCCTAATTTTGCTAATTCTAAAGCTTCTCACCTTCAACCCTATATATGTACCACCCTTTCCAACTGGAGTCTGAGAAACCTATTAATAGTTTTGCTTCACATTCTTGAGAATGCCCGTCTTCAGGAGATGTTGCTTCTATCGTCTTTTAGTGCAACAACCCCCTACTGCAGGGTGTTCACATTTAACACAAGTCCTAAATTCCTTTAGAGCTGTTCTCTTATCCATTTTCTTCTGTTACAATTTCTAAATATGTCACTCTTGAGTCTCTTAAGCCACCTTTAAGATACATGGAAGTTGAAACTCATCTTCCGTGGAAGCTTTCTTGAAATATTTGCAGAATTCTCAACCTTGTAAAGGTTGTTATAGTTGAATTTGGGGGGAGGAATATATAATCATTAGTAATCAATTAGTTTCCATGAGTTCCAGGAAGTTCCATGTGGCTTGGTTTAAAAATCGCTTATTTCTTAGAGAGGCCATTTAGAATGTTAATTGGTCTCATGAATTGGTAGTCGTTCGTGCTAAGATTTTATTGATTGATCGAAATGTTTTGCTTACTTCAGGATCTCAGTGAAGGTCAGTTATGTATATAATGAATATATGATATTTACATCAAATTTTGGGGTTACATGGGATTATGCAAGTTGTTTCTGTACTATAAATTAGCAGGGTAAATCCTGAATCCTTTCTTCCCTTTTCAAATGCAGCACAAGATGGGATTTATTCGGTAGTTTGTGACAACGAATCAGATCGCTTGGATATGGCTCGGCTCTATAATGAGGTAAATTATATGCTTCCAATCTTATTGGCAGTTGGATGTATTGCATTTTGCTTTGCATATTTTCTTGACCAATCTCGTCTGATAAGATGACTGGAGACTATTATCTGCTTTTCATTTTTTTTTTAGATATGCAAGGTAGTTATGGAAAATGCCCAAGATGCAGAAGCAGCATATTCAGCTAACAGACCAATAAGTTTGAAGGCAAGAACAAATCTTGCTTCTTTAGAAACGTTTGATCAGGAGATAAACCAAATACTTTTGGGTTCTCCTCCTCTGGATACGACTCCTAAATATGACAAGTCGGGAGTTGAACAACAAAGTTCATCATCTACACTTGCTGGAGATAATTCTGTGTCACCCATGAATGCCGATCCTCCAACAGAAGAACCAAACCTGGACAGAGAAATCAACAATCCTCCGGATAATGTGCATGTGCTAGAGTCGTGTTCAACTTTGGTTAGACCTGAATGTTCATCGAATGGAATCAGTGATATAGAAATGGACAAAAATCCGGAGGACAAGTGAAACCTGGCTCTGGGATCATCTTTCAAGATTAGATCTTCGCTGCATTTTGTCCGTTGAAAAATGCAGAGTTTATGAGCAATGTAGTAATGGACTAAAGATCAACATAGAAAACTTTGAGAATCGTGTTGGGTTGCTTTATATGTGGAATAATTTGTTTTTGTTGAATTGGGATTTAGTCATTTGGACCAATGTTCTCAAGTATTTGTTTATATAGACGACCTTTCTAGTTTAGAAAATGCGAAGTAGACCCTAGAAGTTTGTTTTCGATTTTAATTTATATATATATGTTTTTTTTTTTTTTTTTAAATTTTTAATTTTTATTTTTTTTTTTTTTTTTTTTTTTAAATTTTTAATTTTAATTTTAATTTTTTTTTTGGCCTACCTTTAGCATTTGCAAGGCTTGTTTCTTTGAAAAAGAAAAAGAAAAATGAAATTGTGAAGTATCTAACCTGTTTGGCCTCCTTTAAAATTCTTCAATTTAATTTAAAATTTTCTCCCCTCTATTTTCAAAGACACAGTTTTCAATAAAATAGTACCCCTGTTTGAGCCTCATTCTTTTTCAAAAAATACATTCTTAAACAGCATTTTGATATCATTTCAATCATACATTCTTCAATAAAATAATATTACACGTAAATTCAAAACTTTTTTAATCTTTTAACCATACATTTTTCATCAATACACTATTTAAAAATTCATTTCTCTTACAAAATGGGGCTCAAACAAGGGTAGCATTATACGCAAATCGAAAAATTTTCATTCTTTTATAAACATCTATTTTTCAAAAAAAAAAAAAAAAAAAAAAAAAAAACCCCTTAATCCCTCTCTTCTTTCCCTTATCACTTGGATTTTGAGCTGAATTTTAGGGTATGTTTGAGCCCCTTTAATTTTGAAAAATATATTATGGAATAGTAGATTGATAGAGAATGTGTGATTGAAAAAAAATTAAATTTTTTTTATTTGTGCGTAATATTATATTAATGAAGAATATGTGTTGAAAATAAGTAATGTAGAAAAAATAATGTGGTGAAATGTAAAATAATAGGTGACAGATATAAGCTTATTCTATTTTCTCGATATGTGCCCTCCCCGTAGTGGCTAGATAGCAATCTTTTTTTCTTTGCCTCCTGGGGCATAGTACAGTGGTGTAAACGATAGAAGTGAGGTTATCTCACGCTTTGCTGGCAGCCACAGTGTGAAAGTTCGATTCCTGAGCATGGAATTGGACTCTTTATAGGTACAGTGCACATTCCGCGATTTACCTCCCTCACAAAACTCTAGAGACGGGGCGGTGGAACCCTCAAGGTTGGGGTTCAACCTTTTTGTTTATTTATTTATTAGATAGCAATCTTTATGATGGCAAGGATAGAAACCTTCAATTTTGTCTTACCGAAGTAATAAATGCTATTATTTATGACTAATACCTACCTATTAGACAACCTAAAAAGGATTATCATTAGCATCCTTAGAATCTATGCTGTTTGAAGGGTTGTAGATGCAATGAAATAGGGAATGTGTTGTCTCGGGAGATCAGTTTTGAAATCTTCTTCAATAAAATTTATTTTTTTTCTTTTGAATTAGTGAATTGGATAGACGGTTCAATATGTAGAATAACGAATACACTTGTACGCGACCTGTGTACTTGCGGTGTATAATTTTAAGCGAACAAATGCATTAAAAATTTATGAATACTTAAAGATCACATAATATACGGTGGTATACTTCCTTCTTCTATCAGACTCTAGACAATTGACCATATGTCTAACTTATTTTCAATCTTTTGAAGGTCAAAATGCCACAAACTCATACAACCATTGCATATATAATTGTAGTGAAAAATAAATAATGTCAATTATTCAATAATTGAAATCACGAGTTAAAGTTCCATGATACAGGATTCATCGTAATCCTAGCGCAAAAAAATACTTAGATACTCATAATATTGGAATTAAACAAATAAAAGTTAAAAATCATCACCAATAAATTGACGGAATTCAATTAATTTTAAATTTCTTGCTCAATTATTGATGAATTAGTTCACAGAATTTCTTTTTGCTATTTGCTGCTTGTTTTTCCATCCTCTTCGTGTTCATCCTTCTGTGTTTACTTAATGTCTTTTTAATTGTGCAATCAATGTCTTCTTTAATTTAATTCAAGTCCTTTAATTACCAAAGTTTGGAATTTGATCTCCAACTTTCCATCCAATGTTTTTTTTTTTTTTTTTTTGGGAAAAATGCCCATTACTGAACCAAACGAAAATTAACCCAAGTTAAGTAGTGTTCAATACATTAACGACATAAAAGTTTAGTAATATGGCATGGCACGAATAAGTGCCCAAAATGCATTTACAATAATCTGATTGATTTTACCATTTATGAGATTAGTTTACTGCAATGAGGTTTGACCTTGAACACAAGCCATTCCTCTCTTGAAGTATTGAGGATTCAATAATTGGAATTCTTGATTGGAAAGTCTTAATTTGATTTTTTGGAAAGTTGGTAAATCCGTAACCTTTAATTAAGAATGTAGTTAGAATTGAGCATTGCTTATCAATGAAAATTGTGAATTGAAACAGTTTGACTTTTAATGTGAATTGAAATTACTTGTTGTTGAACCATTTGATTAATTGCCTAAGTGATTGTTTACAAACTAATTTCGGTGATATGAAATTCCTTTCTTTTCTCGAAAGGGAATTAATTGGATTCGTTTTGAACTATTGGGAATCAAGTAGTAAAATTATTGTAAAACTTCTCCGTTTTAATTCCTTACTTCGTGTAAATATTCTTGTTTAAAGAGAAGAAAAAAGGAAAAGGTGAAGACTGAAGAGGGCAACCATGGACTGTTTTTTATCACCAAAAAAAATAATAATAAAAAAAATAATCTAGTGATGGAGTGTAGTAGAAAAATCTATGGGGGTAAAATGCAAGAAAAATTCACAGTGGTGAATATTTATGCAATGGCCATTAAAGTTTTCGAGACGATAGGTGAATGTGGTTGTGCCCATGATAGTTTTACATATGGTGCTTTGATAAGTGAACTCTTCAGGGAATCCAAGTTGGATGAGGCCCGAAAACTTTATGAAGAGATGATGGACAAAGGACTTGCCCCATGTGAAGTTACTTGGTTGATAAAAGCTTGTGCGTATTGCAAGAAGGCTGAATATTCTGCAATCACCAGAATATTAGAAAGCTAAGAGAAAAAGCTATGGTTTCGTACAGTTTGCACCTTAATTAGGAAGAATCCTATTAGAAAGATTAGAGAAAAAGCTATGGGTCGCAGAGTTTGTACCTTGATAAGAAAGCTTTCTTGTGAAAAGATAGTAGGTATGGTTGCACTATTTTTCGATAAGCAGTAGTAGCATTTTCTGCAATGGCAGCAGCAGCGCACCATCTCTTAAGTTGCATTAGCACAAATTTTACCAGCAAAACCTGCAGCTTGCTTACCAGATTCATCAACGAGGATATCGAAATGCCCCACATGGACACGAGCTACTTGTACAAAAATATTAGTTGGTCCGTTTGATTTTCCGCGTGTATACGGTATCGTGAACAACTAATAAAGTGATGAATAAAGTAGTGTTCTTACGAGGACTACGTAATTAATCTAGTATCAATTTATTTCAACTTTAATCGAATAGCAAATTTTGTTGAAGAATTTATGCTAAATTAACTAATTAAACTAACTAATCTATTGAGTAATTTGTAAAGCTTTTGTGAATTTCGATGTGATATTACTAAAACCGTAAATCCCTATTATTAATCCGTTTCAATGCAAATAAATAACATGACAATATGTGCACATTCCTATTGATCAATATTCCTAAGTTAATTAAAAACATAACTCAATTTCAATTAAATATATACTCTCATATAATCTTTCTATATCCCTATAAAATATGCGAGCATAAAAGCATGCTTTAAAAATAATAAATTTTTTAAACAATCCAATTAGTGATCAAGTAATTGAGAAGTCATCAAATCTTGTAACAATCATCCAATAATAAACACATATTTGTCGTCAAATTGTTGAATTTAAATTGAAAACTTCATAATAAAAGTTCGTCTATGTCTTAGCAATTGGAAAATTAACCTACCATTACAAAAGTTCAAGAAATCATAATTAATTTGTAAAACAACACATGAATTTTGATTAATTGGAGATGAAGACGATGAATTTCGAAATCTTGAATCTCTTCAATGATTTCGTGATAAATTCCAGTTGCATCTTCCACTCGTTGCCCAAAAACCAAGTTTTGATCTCCAATTAATGAATATCAAGCAATTGCCTCTAAATGTGCCCAAAAGTGTTGATTTTGGCCTCTCTTTGATGTGATAAATTATGAATTTAGGAGCATGAAAGATATGTGAGAGGTGTCTATAATGTATTCTATTGTTAGACATTTATAGTAGTTGAAAATTGGTTCAAAATCACGTCCAAATTGATTTTCAAAAGAGTGTCAGTCAAATACTTCGCGTGCTCATGTTTTTGTCCTTGCACAATTGTCAGTATTTTTATCATAACTTTCTCTTTCAATATCTGATTGAGACGATTCAAAATGTATTGGAAAGCTAATTAAAAGGGCAAGAAATAGAATTTTTCCAATTTGAACATTTACTATGTCAAAAATAGATCTCAATCTTCAACTAAAAATTTGGAACATACTTTGCGTGATTGGAAATTGATTTGTGAAAATATTTTGATTATATTTCATTTTTTTTTACTTCTAATTGCATCCAATCGAACCTTGGAAATCGTCAATTATCATTTTGTTGTCCGAATAAACTATTAAATATTTACAATTTGGTCCTCGAACTTTGGACTTCACCCCTTTTCGTCATTTTTTGCCCCTTTCTTCTAATAAATGAACTATACACAAGATTAGGCTATAATTTATTAAAAGAACAATGAAATGTCAATGTTAAAGTCCGAATAAGTTTATTAGATGCACTTATCACTAGTTATATCAACAACGATATTCACCTATGCAACTTCATCAAAGATAGAAATGTGTTTTCAGATTAAGAAATAAATGTATTTTTTATATAAAACATTGAGAAAATTTTACTTGGTGGACTAATCTCATCCATTATTCTAAATTGCAGGTTTCACACTTGAACCATGCAATAACTCATGATGCATAGGCAATTATACTCTATGAATTGTTGTTGAACATTACGGCCAGTGGCAGACGTAGACAATTTGAGTTAGTGGGGCACAATCAAATTTAAAAAAAAAAAGTTGTAAAAAATTAAAGTATTTGATAT